CTTTCCTATTTAAAGCAGAAAAACATTCACAGATATTTAATCACAAATATTAATTTAATAACTGTCAATCTTGCATCCACGAGCAGAGGTGCAACCTAGGTAGGCAAATGAGCAGTCAAAACCACGGTGGCGCAATGGCTAGAGTGCAGTACTGCAGGCTACTTCTGCTGACTGCCAGGTGTCTGCAATTTGGCAGTTCAAATCTCCCTGGCTCAAAGTTGACTCAGCCTTCCATCCTTCCAAGGTGGGTAAAATGTGGATCCATATTGGGGGCAATATGCTGACTATGTAAACCACTTAGATAGGGCTGTAAAGCACTGTAAAGTGGTACATAAGTCTAAGTACTATTGCTAAGAAAAAAAAATTCCAGAAAGAACTTTATTCATTTATTATTGTGGCATATTGTATTTCTAACTGGGTTTAAAAAGTGCCCAAGCACAAATACCTAGGTCATGTGTATTCATCACTAAAGACATTAATCAGTAAGGAAAAGTATGTTATTAATAATCAAACCACAGTGGTACAGTGGTTAGAATGCAGTACTGCAGGCTAATTTTGCTGCCTGTTGGCTGCTTGCAATTTGGCAGATCAAATCTCATCAGGTTCAAGATTTTTTTAAAAAAATTTTATTGCAAAGTTTTTAACGTATTTATTAACAAAGTGTTGTCTAAATCTTTTCTTGTTCATCATCTCATATACACAATCCATTTTGCATCATTCTTTCCAATTTTAGCCAATTATTCTCTTTCCATATTTTTATCTTAAACTTTTCTTAATACATAAATATCTCTAATCTCCCTTAATTTCTAATCTCTTACAATAACATCAACTCCATCGCTAAATATGTTTTTCAAATTCTTCATTCCACTCTTTAACATTTCATCTTCATCTCTTAATTAAAATTGTCTTAAAGTTAAACCAAATTGCCATTTCACATTTCATCTGTTGGTCTGTTTTGCTGTAAGCAACATACATCAAATTCAATTTTAACATAAAAAACTTAATTAATTATCCACCATTAATAATGTTGTTATAATTCTCTTACATCTTAATTAACTATCCACCATTAATAATATTAATACAATTCCCTTTAATCTACTAATATGTACCTTATTTCCCTTTCTCCTCTTTAACCATTTGCTCTTGGTCTCCCAAAAATTCCACTTCTTATTAATTTTCTCCTTTTATCCCATTCTCTTAACTTTTTTTTCTTTTTATAATTATTATCTTTTCTTCTGAATCCTTTTTCTCACTTTTAATTTTATTGTTTGAGTAGTTTTCCCCAGGAAATTTAGTTTTCAGATAAATCACTATTCTGCATAATTCTAAATGGCAAAAGATTCTATGTGTCTGAGGTTTTGCCTAAGATTCTCTACTCAGTATAAAAATATCTTGTTGGGGATCTGTACCTGCGTCTCCTGCGATCTCGTGAAACACTGCGCTGATCCCTGTTGCGCCTGTCACGGCTACGACTGCGACGTTTCCTGTCACGACTTCGTGAACGACTGTGGCTGCGTTTACGATGACGATTCTCTTTATCCCGTTCTAAAGGCAACAGGATAGAACACAGTGAGCTATCCAGTTGTTGCTTCAGAACAGAGAACATATCTCTTTTTGCCGCAAACCATTTCATTTCCCTAAAACAGTGAGCTGGTGTTTTTTTGGCTTTCAAAGGAGAACATTGAAGAAAATAAACATTGCCAAGAAGAAACTGATACCATGATTGGATCATGTCTGTTGGATAACCATCTGGAATTGCTTAATTGCCCCTGGGAAATGGCAACAACAAATAGATCAAAAGGGAGAAATAGAGACATTTGTTTTAGAATTTCTCAAAGGTAAAACTGCACACAACTATCTTAACGTTTTATCTCCAAATCTAGCAAGCAGAATGTTTCTATAGTCTAATTTGGAAACCCTTGATAAAAACCTTGAGACACATATTCCCAAGAAGCAAAAAATGAGATAACCTAAATAAAATATGGTGTCAACAATTTGATTAATTTCTTTAAAAATTAAAACCAAGTAGTCTTTTGTTTTCTATTTTAAAAAACACCAAGGAAAATTTAGGAGACCTAATAATTCTGCAGATTTTTGAAACTTCTAAATATGAACACTACATTAAAAAACAAAATAAAACATGAGGAAAAATGCATCAAATGATATGATGTATGCTTCTAAAATACAGCAACAACTATAATTACAAGAATGCAGGATTTTATTTTGACAAAACTAACACTGCATTCCAATAGTTTGGAACTACTACGAGACCCATAATAGGAATAATATGGAATAGAATTAGCTATAAAACAATAGATCTTTAAACAAAGAACTCAAATTTTGGAGACTGATGCAGCTGTGCTGGACACAAACAATGTTTTAGAACAAGAACAAAATGCTATTTGTGTGGCCAATGAGACTGTTTTAAGATTCATTGGTAACAGGGTTACCATACAGTACAGAAATTTCTATGTTAAAAACATTCATGCAAACCAGAAACACCTAATGGAAGTGAAAATAGGGAAGCTTCAATTTTAACTAAGGATTTATAACATCGTTTTTAAAGAACAATATGACTTCTCTTCTATTTCTATATATTAAGTCATATAATCCAAACTACCAGTAGGTCCAGTGTTATCATTAGACCTACAGTACTAAACATTCTTATGCCTACCAAGAAAGCTTAAACAAGAACCCAGATTTCTTCCATTTGGTATATTCAAGATATCCAACATAGACCCGTTTAAAAAGAAATGGAGTGAATTCTAAAAAACCCATGGATGTTTGTATTTTCAGAAAGGGCAGCACTGGTTTATTTCAAATGAAATCCATTCTGGAGAGAAGGGAGGCAGCTCTGAATTATACTGTGGAACAGTAGAACATGAATAATTTGCACTTAGAGCTACAGCATACCTTTTGATTCAATCCTAGCAAACAGGCAGTGCATGATAACAAATTTGGCTTAGGAGTCTGAATTACTGTGATTCCCACCAAGTGGAAATAGGTATTGTCAATAGGGAGTAAAATCAGTACTGTAGCCTAATCCAAATATTTTGATTGATACTGCTAAGATATTAAGAAATGTTGTCTGAAAGAAGCATACACATATTGTATACAAATAGTTTCAACTTACAAGTTTCAGTGCCACTGAAAAAATGACATATGATCAATTTTCAATGGCATTGATTAGAATGGCCATAAGTCAAAGTCTACTTGTATACGACATGTATATCTTTCTTTCAGAAAACACTTTATAATATCTTACAATAGGCTTTCCTTGTATCAACCAAAATATTTGGATTAAGCTAGTCAATGACCTTTGCATTGTCCTGGGGTAATGCAATCACCATTTGTAACCTTCCCAGCCATCTTCCGACAAGCAAAGTCAACAGGGAAAGCCAAATCACTTCATGATTGCAACTTCAGTGATACAACTGTGGCAAAAAGGGTCATTAAATGAGGCAAAACTCATTTAATAACTGCCTTAATGGAAATTTGGGGCTCAATTGTGGTCATTGGTTGAGAACTATCTGTAGTGTACAATATTTCTTGTTTAAACCTCTGGCATCTCCAACTCGGAGAAGGCACCCTCCCCCATCTGAAATCCCCTCAGAACTGCATTTATGGCATGTTGTATAAATCAAGTCAGGTTGGAATTTATAAGCTGTGGCTAAGGAAACCAGTTGTTCAAATTGTAGTAGGACAGCCCCAAGGTGATGTGAACTATCCAGTTTATCCCTGGTGCAAAAGAACAGTTGTGCCACGGTAGATGCAGTCCCACACACTCGAATGTAGGCCTAGTAATGCTGCTAGTTCTCAATTTACAATCCAGAGATAAGATCCATTTTTGTTTTAATGTTAATATTCTTCATATGAAAGTGGAGAATTGGAAGAAGAGATTGGGCAACCCTTTTGTCTGAAATGGTACAGCTTCTGCTTCAGCAGGGGGTTGGACTAGAAGACCTCCAAGGTCCCTTCCAATTCTGGGATCCCTCTGGGATCCTGCATTCAGTTTTGGTCACCACGATGTAAAAAAGATGTGGAGACTCTAGAAAGAGTGCATAGAAGAGCAACAAAGATGATTAGGGGACTGGAGGACAAAACATATGAAGAACGGTTGCTGGAACTGAGTATGTCTAGTCTGATGAAAAGGACTAGAGGAGACATGATAGCAGTGGTTTCCACAAAGAGGGAGTTAAGCTATTCTCCAAAGCACCTAAGGACAAGAAGCAATGGGTGGAAACTAATCAACTAAGAAGCAACTAAGAACTGAGGAGGAATTTCCTGACAATTAGAACAATTAATCAGTGGAACAACTTGCCTCCAAAAGTTGTGAATGCCCCAACACTGTAAGTTTTTAAGAAGAGATTGAACAGCCATTTACTTGAAGTGGTGTAGGGTTTCCTGTCTAAGCAGGGGGTTGAACTAGAAGACCGCCAAGGTCCCTTCCAACTCTGTTATTCTATTCTATTCTAATTTTTATTCTATTGTACAGTTGAGCCCCCAGGCCACATGGCCATAGTAGCGCAGAGAAGCAGCTGCCCGCGGACCTAGGAAGCCAGGCCACCACTCGCTTCCCTCTTCCACCATGGCGCCCCAGGAAAGAGGCCGAGCAGATGTTGCCCAATTTGCAGCTAACCCCGCACGCTCCGCGGATCGCCTTTCTTCCGCCCTTCCCAAGCGCCGGCCTTGACTACCCGCTAAGCTCCAGGAAGGGGCGCTCCACGTGCGTTGTCCAACTCTGGATACCCTCCCCCCCCACTCCCGAAAAACTGTGGGCTTCCCCCCTGCACACCTTTCCTTCTCCTCCTCCTCCTCCTCCTCCTCCTCCCCGTTCTCCTTTTTAAACGTACGCCGCCAACGGTCCCGGGGAGCGCGCGGCCTCGCTTCTCCCCCCCCCCCCGCGAACCACCTCGCGCCAAATTAGGCGGAGGGAGGAGGGATAGTTAAAGAAGAGGTGGCGGCCGGGCGCACGAGGATACCCAACCCTTCTCTTAAACGGGGCCAGCCGATGGGCCGCGCCGAAAACCAGCCATGTGGGAAGAACGGAACGGGCAGCGGTGAAAAGGGGAGAGCCGCCGCCGCTATACCTCGTACTTCTTTTTTTTTTCTCCGTCTGCCGTTGAACCCGAGCTTGCCCCCCAACCACGCTGGCTTACCCTGTTTGTTTTCATTTAGCTGCCGCTCAAACTCGTCGAAGTCCGACATGGCTAAGGAGGAGGAGGACGTCCCTCGATCCGGCCTAGCTACGGTCGCACGGTGGTGGCGCTTTCCAGCCCAGGTCCTCCTCACGCAGTAGGCCGCAACAGCGCCTTCTCTGGGAGTTCGGCAACTTCCGGTGGCTGCTTCGGATGTGAACGGAAACTCTCGGCTATCTCCGGAATGCCTTTCGAGAAGCGACTGGCTTTCCCCGCTGTCTACTCCCCTCCCACGAATCATCACAGAAGCCCTCCGGGAAAGGCTGCCTCTCTAGGAAAGTTTCGGATTCCTACGGAAAGACTCGGATCCTCTTTGTAACGTCATTTCCTTTGTCTTAAAAACTATCGTACGCCTGACGCATGCCTTTGTATTCCCGCTTAAAACCAAAAAAATTAAAAAGCCATGGCTCGTTAAAAATAAAGTATTTCCGCCGGATGTTGCTCGAGTGCTTCCAGGGCATTTTTGTTTTACAGTGCGCTTGTGCGGTGGTTGAGCTTTAGATGTCAGTGTACAAAATAGCGGAAGAACGAGAGTTGTCTTTTTCCCCTCATTGTTTTCAATTGTGGAATATACTATAAACTCTGAATAATTTCACATGCTGGCCTTACATAGCACACTGTCGTTAAAAAAAAGACGAAGATACCTAACGCTGCATGGATGCAGCTATATTTGCAGGCATATTAAATAACCTACATTATATGATTCCCTCCTCCTCTCCAAATTCGGTGTGTGTCGAGCGTCAAGCGAATTCAGAAAATATGGTTCATTTTATCTTGTTTAATAGCCTTGTTTAAACATACGAGCACATACAAGGATGGAAAGTTAAAATGTAGACAACGCACATCAGGTAGATTTTTGTGTTAAGGTTACCAGGTGGCCCTGAACTTTTACCAAAATGCTTGCAGTGTACGAATGCAATTTATAAACAGTATTCTTTCTAGGCCAACTGTTCTAATATAAAAAGCACTGCTATTTCCCCTCTTCACAAGGATCGTGCTAATTAATACTATAGGCAGATAATTGATTGGTTTTTATATGAGGAGGTCCTTGGTGCTCTATGAGCTTGCTTGTTTTCTTCCAGATGTTTCATTATCCTAACTAGGAAACATCATCAGTGTTTCCTATATTTGGTTTTTATATTTTTGAAGGGGAGCAGACATGTTCCTGAAGCTTGTGAAACCTGGGGGGTTTCCCTGGAACTAGCTTAATTTTGTCTATAGCACCACCTTGTGCTACTTTATGGTGCACTTTCCTGCATATTTTCTTAAGAGAATTATATTTTCATCCTTTCATTGAATTTTTTCAGCATGAAAGTTTCCCCTTTTCTTTATGAATGTTTAGCAAATTCAAAAATATTACTTATTTTTTTTTCTAATGCACCACTTATTGTAAATTGTTTCTTGAACTTACTATGCTCTAATTTTAAACATATTTTCAATCGTTTAGGAAACTTTGAAGTGATATATACTATTAAACACTTTTAAATCCCATCTTTGTACAAATTTAACTGGGAAAATAACCAGTGTTCCCATCTTCCCAAGGGAAAACCAACTGAACAAGTCCAAATGTAATCCAGGAACTCTCGGAAAATGAAGGAAATTGGATCTCTCCACTCTAATAGCTCATACATTTGTTTTCCCATGCTATATATTTGTCCCATTTTGTAATGTTATACAAGGTTATGTAAAAAAATACAAAGTGCAGAATGTTATATCAAAATGTTCTCTTTAATTTAAATTGTGTTTCAATAAAATGTTTAATATTTTCTTTTTAATTTCTTTTTTTTAACACAGAAAAAACATTGGAGAGAAAGAAATTACAGGCACAGTGAGAACAGTTTTCTAATTATACTGAATAAAAAGGAAGCGGCCTCAAGGAATGCAACACATAATTCAAGTCCTTGCATTCAACTTTCTCACTAACATACTGAGAGAGGCAAAAAATAGTATAAAATTACCAGCAGAAAAATCCAGTTGTGAGCTTGGAGTAGGACAATAGCTAGGGAAAAGGTTTAGGCAATACCTTCCAAAACTAAATGTGGTAAAAAAAATGTAGTAGGGCACAGGGTATGAATATTTTGGGGAGACAATAGGAAAGCAGAGGCAGCTCAATTCTGCAATTCTTCCAATCATAGTAACACTGTAGAGAAAATGGAATAAATGTAACCACAACAGCAGCAAAAAAGGGAATTGATGCAGTACCAGTAGCACCTGCTAACAACTCAGGAAACACAGAAAAGGTTTTCAAGCAAGGAGAGGTAAAACTACAGAAGTGCGTTATGCAACTTTATCTTCCCTCTTCCAGCTTAGAAATGAATAACTTCTATTGGTCATAGTGATTTGGCTCTCACTGAGGCGCTCTCTTAGGTTACTGTCATTTAACCTACTATAAATTATTAGGTGGTTTCCCTTAAGGAAAGACCAAATCATCCTAACTAGCAAAGTTGGGGACGTACTGCTTCTGAGAGAGATATTTTTGCAAACTTTTACCATCTTGTTATATCATTTATTTGACATACCGCAAATGACATTTTGCGGTTTATTTTTTTTTTATTTAAAAAATGTGTGGCTTTATATTTTATGTGCAAGGCTATAATTACCATCAGTTAATAAACCAACAGAGCCACAGTGGCGCAGTGGTTAGAACGCAGTACTGCAGGCTACTTCTGTTGCCTGCCGGCTGCCTGCAGTTTGGCAGTTCGGCCCTCACCAAGTTTCAAGGTTGACTCAGCCTTCCATCCTTCCAAGGTGGGTAAAATGAGGACCCGGATTGTTGGGGGCAATAGGTTGACTCTGTAAACCGCTTGGAGAAGGCCGTAAAGCACTGTGAAGTGGTATATAAGTCTAAGTGCTAATGCTAACATGTTAGCTGTTTCAAGTTACCTGTGCAACAATTACAACTAATCAATCTATCCGTGATGTTATTGATTGTGGGATGGGACACATCATGGTTGTTAGATCCTTTGTCATTGTTTTTCCTCTAGCCAAACTCTCAGGAGGGAGAATGAAAACAATCCTGCAGCTGTGGGAAAGCCTTTAAAGATGGAAGCATAGATGGGCAGATCTATAGTCAAGTAATAATCCTTCCAGACCCTTTTTGTAAAGATACAATGGCCCTACCTGTGAAACAGTGGATTCATTCAGTATTTAAACCTAGGAAAAGTTGGGAGATTGTTGGGCATCAGGGTAGAAAACTGAAGGAAACCCTGTTTGGTGAGAATTTGGCTCTCCAATATTTCGGATCTTCAGGGCAGTTGTTTGTTGCAGCAATGATAATCTAGGTTGGAAGAGAGAAAGGCTAAGTGAATCACACCTGGCCAGGGAGATGGGATACTCAAGAGCACTCACCTGGGTTACCCGGCTCAATTTCCTCCAAATCACAAAGGTGTGATACCACACATCACACTTTTATTTTAATAGGGATAATGGATGGGGTCGGAGGGGGCAGGATGTACAGAGAAAGAGAGCTCAAAGGACTGGCAACATAGGTTCCAGCAGTACTTATGTTGCTCCAGGAGAAGATTCATCGCTTGTAGCATTCAGCGATTGGCAGAAGTTGCTTGGGTGGCACAGCAGGAGAAGGGACAGAGTTGCCAGCAACTAAGCCAGGAGAGTCCATTTTCGTCTTGAAGCGGTAAGTGATGGGCAGTAGAAGCTTGCTTTTCTTGAGGGCCTGGACTTTTTTGAGTGTCTCATCATCTAGCGCCATGAAACATCGTCGGGAATATTCAAGCAGACGTTCCTTAGATGGGTCAAACTCACCCACTTCAGCCAATTTTTCAGGAGCAACAATAAGGAGCTCTGCTATGGGGGTGGTCAAGGCCACAGTGTTACGATCCACCCGATGATGTTCAAAGGCCCGACTCATGCTTTGCATCTTCTGGAAAGTGCACAGGATCTTCTTATACCGGCAGAGGACTCCATCCACATCCTTGACTGTATGGCAAGTTTAAATTCAGGTGGCCAATACCATGGAGGATGGAGACAAACAGCAGTGTAATTGAACAGCAAAATGCAGAAAGAGAACAGCAGCGCCCCATGAACACCAGACATCATGAAAGCCAAGATGAAAGAAATGAAAAATTAAGGCAAGAAAGCAACAAGTTAGGATGGAGAAGGCAGATAAGGACATGATGTGGAAGGGTTATAATAGGGCATATACATCAGCAGCACAGGCAAAGCAAAGGGCAGAAAATAAATCAGGCATCAGGTTAAAAATATATACATTTGTAGTTGAAAACGTCAACAGATACGAAAAGACAAAAGATAGGGACAGGGAGGATAGGTTGCAAAAAGAAGGAAAGAAAAGTCAAGCAGGAAGCATATATCACAATTTTCAAGATCAGAAATAGTAGGAAATAAGATGGTGAGCAGTTTAGGGATGGGTCAAAGAAAGAGGGAAGGGAAGGGCAAGATGAGGAAGGGAGGGAGAGAAGAGAACAGATTATATCTGTTTACCAAGACTTGAGGCTTTGATAGGAGAAGATTTGAATAAACTAAATAAAAATTCCCTGTTTCTATACATCTTAACAAGATATCTCTTACAAACATTTTAACGAAAGCTTCCACAATACCTGGCACGGCCCGTACTGGTTGAGGCTGGTTGAGAAGAATGTAAAATGTCTGAGATGCTCAGCTGTCTATCCTTGCAATACTGTAGAGCAGGGCTGTCAAACTAGCAGCCCACGGGCCGGATGCATGGTGCGCTGGCCACACCCACACACCGTTAGCAAAGGGGGGGAAAGTCCTGATATGTCATGTGATGATGCTGTGATGACCCAAGTTTGACACCCCTGCTGTAGAGATCCTTATTTTTCACTCTAGAATCTCCTTTCTACTTCTTCCTTTCTTTCCTCAAAATAAAAAAGATCTATATTATGTATGTGTGTGTGTGTGTGTATGTGTATGTGTATGTGTATATAGCAATAGCAATAGCAATAGCAATAGCAGTAGACTTATATACCGCTTCATAGGCCTTTCAGGCCTCTCTAAGCGGTTTACAGAGAGTCAGC